TGCCCTGCCCTGCCATATGCCCTGCCCTGCCATATGCCCTGCCCTGCCATATGCCCTGCCCTGCCATATGCCCTGCCCTGCCATATGCCCTGCCCTGCCATATGCCCTGCCCTGCCATATGCCCTGCCCTGCCATATGCCCTGCCCTGCCATATGCCCTGCCCTGCCATATGCCCTGCCCTGCCATATGCCCTGCCCTGCCATATGCCCTGCCCTGCCATATGCCCTGCCCTGCCATATGCCCTGCCCTGCCATATGCCCTGCCCTGCCATATGCCCTGCCCTGCCATATGCCCTGCCCTGCCATATGCCCTGCCCTGCCATATGCCCTGCCCTGCCATATGCCCTGCCCTGCCATATGCCCTGCCCTGCCATATGCCCTGCCCTGCCATATGCCCTGCCCTGCCATATGCCCTGCCCTGCCATATGCCCTGCCCTGCCATATGCCCTGCCCTGCCATATGCCCTGCCCTGCCATATGCCCTGCCCTGCCATATGCCCTGCCCTGCCATATGCCCTGCCCTGCCATATGCCCTGCCCTGCCATATGCCCTGCCCTGCCATATGCCCTGCCCTGCCATATGCCCTGCCCTGCCATATGCCCTGCCCTGCCATATGCCCTGCCCTGCCATATGCCCTGCCCTGCCATATGCCCTGCCCTGCCATATGCCCTGCCCTGCCATATGCCCTGCCCTGCCATATGCCCTGCCCTGCCATATGCCCTGCCCTGCCATATGCCCTGCCCTGCCATATGCCCTGCCCTGCCATATGCCCTGCCCTGCCATATGCCCTGCCCTGCCATATGCCCTGCCCTGCCATATGCCCTGCCCTGCCATATGCCCTGCCCTGCCATATGCCCTGCCCTGCCATATGCCCTGCCCTGCCATATGCCCTGCCCTGCCATATGCCCTGCCCTGCCATATGCCCTGCCCTGCCATATGCCCTGCCCTGCCATATGCCCTGCCCTGCCATATGCCCTGCCCTGCCATATGCCCTGCCCTGCCATATGCCCTGCCCTGCCATATGCCCTGCCCTGCCATATGCCCTGCCCTGCCATATGCCCTGCCCTGCCATATGCCCTGCCCTGCCATATGCCCTGCCCTGCCATATGCCCTGCCCTGCCATATGCCCTGCCCTGCCATATGCCCTGCCCTGCCATATGCCCTGCCCTGCCATATGCCCTGCCCTGCCATATGCCCTGCCCTGCCATATGCCCTGCCCTGCCATATGCCCTGCCCTGCCATATGCCCTGCCCTGCCATATGCCCTGCCCTGCCATATGCCCTGCCCTGCCATATGCCCTGCCCTGCCATATGCCCTGCCCTGCCATATGCCCTGCCCTGCCATATGCCCTGCCCTGCCATATGCCCTGCCCTGCCATATGCCCTGCCCTGCCATATGCCCTGCCCTGCCATATGCCCTGCCCTGCCATATGCCCTGCCCTGCCATATGCCCTGCCCTGCCATATGCCCTGCCCTGCCATATGCCCTGCCCTGCCATATGCCCTGCCCTGCCATATGCCCTGCCCTGCCATATGCCCTGCCCTGCCATATGCCCTGCCCTGCCATATGCCCTGCCCTGCCATATGCCCTGCCCTGCCATATGCCCTGCCCTGCCATATGCCCTGCCCTGCCATATGCCCTGCCCTGCCATATGCCCTGCCCTGCCATATGCCCTGCCCTGCCATATGCCCTGCCCTGCCATATGCCCTGCCCTGCCATATGCCCTGCCCTGCCATATGCCCTGCCCTGCCATATGCCCTGCCCTGCCATATGCCCTGCCCTGCCATATGCCCTGCCCTGCCATATGCCCTGCCCTGCCATATGCCCTGCCCTGCCATATGCCCTGCCCTGCCATATGCCCTGCCCTGCCATATGCCCTGCCCTGCCATATGCCCTGCCCTGCCATATGCCCTGCCCTGCCATATGCCCTGCCCTGCCATATGCCCTGCCCTGCCATATGCCCTGCCCTGCCATATGCCCTGCCCTGCCATATGCCCTGCCCTGCCATATGCCCTGCCCTGCCATATGCCCTGCCCTGCCATATGCCCTGCCCTGCCATATGCCCTGCCCTGCCATATGCCCTGCCCTGCCATATGCCCTGCCCTGCCATATGCCCTGCCCTGCCATATGCCCTGCCCTGCCATATGCCCTGCCCTGCCATATGCCCTGCCCTGCCATATGCCCTGCCCTGCCATATGCCCTGCCCTGCCATATGCCCTGCCCTGCCATATGCCCTGCCCTGCCATATGCCCTGCCCTGCCATATGCCCTGCCCTGCCATATGCCCTGCCCTGCCATATGCCCTGCCCTGCCATATGCCCTGCCCTGCCATATGCCCTGCCCTGCCATATGCCCTGCCCTGCCATATGCCCTGCCCTGCCATATGCCCTGCCCTGCCATATGCCCTGCCCTGCCATATGCCCTGCCCTGCCATATGCCCTGCCCTGCCATATGCCCTGCCCTGCCATATGCCCTGCCCTGCCATATGCCCTGCCCTGCCATATGCCCTGCCCTGCCATATGCCCTGCCCTGCCATATGCCCTGCCCTGCCATATGCCCTGCCCTGCCATATGCCCTGCCCTGCCATATGCCCTGCCCTGCCATATGCCCTGCCCTGCCATATGCCCTGCCCTGCCATATGCCCTGCCCTGCCATATGCCCTGCCCTGCCATATGCCCTGCCCTGCCATATGCCCTGCCCTGCCATATGCCCTGCCCTGCCATATGCCCTGCCCTGCCATATGCCCTGCCCTGCCATATGCCCTGCCCTGCCATATGCCCTGCCCTGCCATATGCCCTGCCCTGCCATATGCCCTGCCCTGCCATATGCCCTGCCCTGCCATATGCCCTGCCCTGCCATATGCCCTGCCCTGCCATATGCCCTGCCCTGCCATATGCCCTGCCCTGCCATATGCCCTGCCCTGCCATATGCCCTGCCCTGCCATATGCCCTGCCCTGCCATATGCCCTGCCCTGCCATATGCCCTGCCCTGCCATATGCCCTGCCCTGCCATATGCCCTGCCCTGCCATATGCCCTGCCCTGCCATATGCCCTGCCCTGCCATATGCCCTGCCCTGCCATATGCCCTGCCCTGCCATATGCCCTGCCCTGCCATATGCCCTGCCCTGCCATATGCCCTGCCCTGCCATATGCCCTGCCCTGCCATATGCCCTGCCCTGCCATATGCCCTGCCCTGCCATATGCCCTGCCCTTGTCCATAATGCCCTCCTGCCATAATGCCCCTGCCCTGCCATATGCCCTGCCCTGCCATATGCCCTGCCCTGCCATATGCCCTGCCCTGCCATATGCCCTGCCCTGCCATATGCCCTGCCCTGCCATATGCCCTGCCCTGCCATAGGCCCTGCCCTGCCATATGCCCTGCCCTGCCATATGCCCTGCCCTGCCATATGCCCTGCCCTGCCATATGCCCTGCCCTGCCATATGCCCTGCCCTGCCATATGCCCTGCCCTGCATATGCCCTGCCCTGCCATATGCCCTGCCCTGCCATATGCACTGCCCTGCCATATGCCCTGCCCTGCCATATGCCCTGCCCTGCCATATGCCCTGCCCTGCCATATGCCCTGCCCTGCCATATGCCCTGCCCTGCCATATGCCCTGCCCTGCCATATGCCCTGCCCTGCCATATGCCCTGCCCTGCCATATGCCCTGCCCTGCCATAGTGCCCTGCCCTGCCAATGCCCTGCCCTGCCATATGCCCTGCCCTGCCATATGCCCTGCCCTGCCATATGCCCTGCCCTGCCATATGCCCTGCCCTGCCATATGCCCTGCCCTGCCATATGCCCTGCCCTGCCATATGCCCTGCCCTGCCATATGCCCTGCCCTGCCATATGCCCTGCCCTGCCATATGCCCTGCCCTGCCATATGCCCTGCCCTGCCATATGCCCTGCCCTGCCATATGCCCCTGCCCTGCCATATGCCCTGCCCTGCCATATGCCCTGCCCTGCCATATGCCCTGCCCTGCCATATGCCCTGCCCTGCCATATGCCCTGCCCTGCCATATGCCCTGCCCTGCCATATGCCCTGCCCTGCCATATGCCCTGCCCTGCCATATGCCCTGCCCTGCCATATGCCCTGCCCTGCCATATGCCCTGCCCTGCCATATGCCCTGCCCTGCCATATGCCCTGCCCTGCCATATGCCCTGCCCTGCCATATGCCCTGCCCTGCCATATGCCCTGCCCTGCCATATGCCCTGCCCTGCCATATGCCCTGCCCTGCCATATGCCCTGCCCTGCCATCACTCTCATGTGACGCTTCCATTCCTCGTCCTTCCTCCTCCGTCCGTCCCTTCTTGCCTCACCCGTGTCACTAGACTTCTCCTCCCACCCGCTTTCGAGAAGTCTTAAAAGCGTGTCAACCACCCCCTCCCGGTATCCCCCCTTTTCCCATCCCCATTTCGCACCGTCTCACCTGCCTCCCCGCTGCTTCCCCCAACTCAACCAGCCGCACAGTCTCGTCTATTGCTCGCAAGAGTTCCGCCCTTCCCCTGAACCTCCGAATCCTTTCCCCCCATCCCAACCCCCCTTTTCCCACCCCTCCCCCCTCCCCTGAACGTCCCCTCTCCGCTCCGCCAGTCTGGTGCGCGGAATCGACTTCCTTGTGCGCGTGGCGCCTGGCGATTGCTACGGCTTTGCCCACGTGGACGCCCTGCCACGTGGCGCCATTCAGAGGCCAGGCGGCGACTCGGGGTCGGAATCTCTTTCTGCTAGCTGCTGCAGCAGCAGCTGCAGTGGCAGCAGCGACGGGGAGGACGAGGGCGGGGAGGGCGGGCGGGCGAGCAAGAGGAGGGGAGGTGATGCTGCTGATAGGACGGAGAGCGAAGGAGGGGAGAGGGCAGGAGGGATGAGCGGAGACGGTGTTGGGAGGCAAGGGGAAGAGGGGAATGGGAATGGGAATGGGAATGGGTCTGGGACTGGGAATGGGAATGGGAATGGAAATGGGAATGGGAGTGGAAATGGGCATGGGCCTGAGCATGAGCATGTGCATATGAACGGGCATGGGCATAGGCATGGGCATAGGCATGGACATGTACATGGGAATGGGCATGGGGCAGAACAAGGGGGCGATGAGCAGGAGCAGCAGCAGGGGCATGGTCGGGGAGGGTCGGCATCTGACTGGGACGAGTTGGCACAGGCGTTCTGCGCTGGCAGCGACGGTGATGGGCGCGCGAGAACAGGCGTTGAGGGAGGGGAGGGGGGAGAGCATGGAGAGGCGAGAGAGGGCGGTGATGGCCTGCAGTCTGGGTTGGCAGAGGGGCGGGGGGCAGGGGGAGAGGAGGTAGAGGAGGCGGTGGGGGATGGTGCGTGTGTGGGAGAGGGAGGTGTTGTGGATGGGGTAGAGGCGGATGTTGAGGATGGGGAAGGGGGTGATAGTGATGAGGAGAGCACTGATGGTGATGGCGGTGCAGCGAGGGAGAATGGGAGGTTGGATAAGGAGGTAGCGGAGGAGGAGGAGGAGGAGGAGGAGGAGGAGGAGGAGGAGGAGGAGGAGGAGGAGGAGGAGGAGGAGGAGGAGGAGGAGGAGGAGGAGGAGGAGGAGGAGGAGGAGGAAGGCGAGGAGGACGAAGACGAGGACGAGGAGGAGAGGGGAGATAGGAGGGAGGGGGTGGATGCGGGGAGCAGGGCAGAGGAGAGTCCCCCGGAGCAGCTCACGTACCCCTACCTTGTGGTGCGCTGGGAGGCGGGTGTGGGGTGTGGGAAGAGGGCTGCTTGAATCATTATGATGTTCTGAAGAGAAAATCCTATGGATTGTGTCTTTAATTTTGCGTTCATGGTCCCTTGCTTTTTCTGATCCACGGCTCCAGTCCCCACCTGATGCCCACCTGATGTCCACCTGATTCCAGCCAGTCACCATCCATCCATCTGCCTCTGCCTCTGCCACCCTCCTCAAGCCTGTCCTCACTTCGCCTATCCGCCTCCCTCTTTGCACCGCTGCACGACTCATGTGTGTGGATGGCGCATGCATGTGGCAGGTGAACATAGGGTCGGGGGTGTCCATCCTGAGAGTTGATGCGCCCGGCCAGTTTGAGCGCGTCGGAGGCTCTTCTCTCGGCGGCAGGTCTGCCTCCCTGCCCTTCCATCCCTGCCCTCCCATCCTAACCCTCGCATTCTTGCCCTCCCATCCCTGGACTCTCCCATCCCTGGACTCTCCCATCCCTGGACTCTCCCATCCCTGCCCTCCCTCCCGTGCCTGTCCTCCTTGCTCCCTGACTTTCTGTCTCTGCTTTTGGTAATCGCTTGCACTTGAGTTGGCATTGAGTGCTCAATTCGATATCAACTGAAGTTTCTTTGCTTTGAAGTGCTCGCTTCCCCCTCTGCTCTCTGCCCCCTATGCCTTCCTGCTCTGCTTCCGTTTCCTATGTTCCCCTATATCTTCTTACAACCCTCCTGCCTTTCCTCTTCTGCCTCCCATGTTCGCCCCTGCATGTGCTGCACACTCCAGCACCTTTCTGGGCCTTGCAGTTGCACTCACAGGCTGCACCAGGTATGTACCATGTCATGACTCATGCCATGCCATGCCATGCCATGCCATGCCGTGCCATGCCATGCCATGCCATGCCATGCCGTCCAATGCTATGCCTCGCCATGCAGGACATCAGTTGCCTCGTACTCCTCAGCTTGCATCCCTTTTCTTCCCCTTCTCGTCGTCCTGTGCTGATAGCCCCTTGTCACCACCTCCCTGCTGCTCACCTGGGTCCACCATTTCATCCTTCCCGTTGTCCTGTTGTCTCTCCTCTCCTTCCTCTCCTCTCCCCTCCCCTCCTCTCCTCTCCTCTCCTCTCCTCTCCTCTCCCCTCCTCTCCTCTCCTCTCCTCTCCTCTCCTCTCCTCTCCCCTCCTCTCCTCTCCTCTCCTCTCCTCTCCTCTCCTCTCCTCTCCTCCACGTCCCCTCCCCGTTTCTCACGCACGCCAGCTTCAAGGAGGCCATGAGGCTGGCATCGAGGGGCGACAGCACGTGTGTGGACATGCTAGTGGGAGACATTTACGGTGGGTTGTGCACACCTCAGGCACACCTCAAGCGCACCTCAGGCACACCTCAGGCACACCTCAGGCACACCTCAGGCACACCTCAGGCACACCTCAGGCACACCTCAGGCACACCTCAGGCACACCTCATGCACACCTCATGCACACCTCATGCACACCTCAGGCACACCTCAGGCACACCCATGCAGCACATGCCATGGAGTGCAACCTCACTAGCCTATCTACCTCGTCATAATCTCTAGTGCAAGATCCTAAAAAAACAGTACCACGTTCTTCCTCCTCTCTCCACGTTCTCCTTCACTCTTGATGTTCCTACTTCAAGTGCAGCACTCCTTTTCACCCCTTTTTCCCCAACCTGGAGGGCAGTGGGTGTGCAACCTGGTCGCCATTGTACGTGTTTAGTCAATGAATCTCACGGGTCCTTTCCCATGGTCTGGTGGTGTTAACTGTTGCAGGAGGTGACTATTTGGAGATGGGCCTGGCTGCCACCACAGTAGCCAGCTCTCTTGGAAAGGTATGCCTGCACATGGTTCGTGCTGTGACCATGCATTGCCATACCACGTAACTTTCCTGGTCATCTTATACCAGCTACCTGCTTGCTGGTTCGTACCTTCCGTGAAATTCTTCTAAAGATTATTTCACCTCATTCCTGTGTGCCATTCGCAATTGCCAATCCAACTATTGATTCAGTTCGTGGAAAGCTATCATTTGTGCTCTCCCTCATGGCCTGCCACCTCCTCTCTTCCCTTCATCCCCATTCACACAAACCGCCTACCTCCCCCCCCCTCCCTCCCCCTCCCCAGCTGGTGCGGCCTGCTGACAAGGCATCGCCGAGTCGTCGCCCGGAGAATCTAGCAAAGGCGGTGCTGCTGATGGTGACGAACAACATCGGGTCCATTGCCATGCTGCATGCTCGCCCCGCAGGCGTGCGCCACGTGCTCTTCACAGGCAGCTTCATGCACAACAACAAGGTGCTGCTGGGAACGGTGCTCTGGGAACGGTGCTCTGGGAACGGTTCCAGTGGCCATGGGAAAGGTGCTGGTTCGAGGGTGCTGGTGGGAAGGGCGGTGGTGGAAAAGGTGGTGGTGGGAATGATCCTGGTGGTACCTAAATAGAATTTGTTTGTCTCTCCTGGTGTAAGTAATGCTATCCCTTTTGCTCTCCTCATGCTCGCCCCTGCAGCTGGCCATGCGGTCGCTAGCGGTGGCAATGCAGTTCTGGTCTAACGGAGCTATGAAGGTGAGATGCCTAATGGGGAAGCAAACATGCCGGTTTTGGGGAACAAGGGTTTGTTGGTGAGCCATTTTTCGCAGCAGTCTCTCTAGAGTTCACATCTTCAAGCAACAAAATAAATCAAAATTTACCCGAATGGCTATTTTTTTAAGATTTTTAGGGTAGGTGTGTTCATGCTCCTTTTTTCTCTTCCTTTTCCCCAGGCCATGTTTTTGAGACATAACGGGCATGCTGGCGCATTAGGGGCACTGCTCGCATGTGCGGATCGGCATGGAGTGGCCATCAGCCCAAGCTCCAAAAGACTCAGCATCGGAAACTCTGTAGACCTGCCAACTTCTGTAATGTAACATGTTACTCAAGACACACTGCACTTGGTAATGCATTTTAGGGACAAGAGGATACTGGAGTTTTTACATCAAACGTTTTTGTAGCAAGCACAAGCCCAGGGGTGTTTCAGAATAATTACTTTCTGGTTTTCCGGTAAGCTTGTTTCAAAATCAACATTTTACTGCTTGCTGAATCAGTGAAAAAGGGCTGTTATCTTACCTATATTTCACGTCCTTGTGAAGCCAGTTTTGACAAAGTGTTACGGGTGCAATGAATCGAAGTAGCTAGAATTGCACTAAGGTGTCAAACGAGTACAAAATGTGAGCGAAGGCATGAGCGAACATTTATACGCGAAACATGCAAACGGTAACGCGGTGCGTGCGAGCTAGCTAGTGCTATGCTGGAAGCGAGGCTCGGGCTAGTCCCGAAGCGTAGGCCGACACGGCCAGGCCAGCAGTGCGAGGTTTGGTGAAACAGTGCGCGCGAAGTCGGCGAAGCCCCGTTAGCAGTAACGGGCGAACAACGACTGCTGCTGTACGCGATGTTGCAGGGCTCGCTAAGGAATATCGAGAAAAGTCCTTACACTGCCCCCCCTTTCAAAAAGCCCCTCCGCTACGCAAGTGCGTGTATATCGCGGAAACCCCGGCTCCTCAGGTACACTTGCAGGGCAGGGTGGTTTTCGATGTTGGCCAGGGGCACCCAGCTATCTTCAGTTGGCGTGCGATCCTTCCAGCGAATGAGGAATTCAATCCTCCTGATTCCCGTGGGGTGTCGAATCCGATGGCTCAGGATTTTTTCGGGTTCGATGATCGGCTCCGATGCAGGGCGAGTCATGGATGGCGGGCGGTGACGAGGCAGTTGGCTTGCGGTTGGGATGTATGGGCGAAGTAGGCTGACGTGGAACGAAGGGCTGATGTACCAGTCCGTCGGCAACAGTAGGTGAGCTGTCACTAGGGTAATCATTGTCAAACATTATATATGTTGTAGTTGTTTAGGCTACAGTGGGTTAGCCTTTAGGGGGTACACAATTCTAGGGTTAGGTACTTGTACTCACTTCTCTTTCTAGTTACACCACACACTTCTCTCGATTCTAACATGGTTTCAGAGCAGGTCCTTCGCTAGGACCGATTTTTCTTAGGGCCCACCACTACTGACTGCCTACTAGCGCCCTCGTGCGCCCTACTGTCGGAGCGCCCTCGAGCGCCTCCCCCAGCGCCCTCGTGCGCCCCTCTTTAACGGCCCCGTAAGGCCCCGCGACCCGCGACCCGCCCCTTAGCGACCCGCGCGCCGCCCCTTAGAGGCCCCCCCTCACGGCCGCGTCGACCCCGCGCGTAGCCCCTTAGAGGCCCCGTCGGTCCCGTCGACCCCACGCGCGCCCCACCTAGCGGCCCCGTCGACCCCACGCGCCGCCCCTTAGAGGCCCCGTCGGCCCCGTCGACCCCGCGCGCGCCCCACCTAGCGGCCCCGTCGGCCCCGTCGACCCCGCGCGCGCCCCACCTAGCGGCCCCGTCGGCCCCGTCGACCCCGTACGCGCCCCCCTTAGCGGCCCCGTCGGCCCCGTCGACCCCACGCACCGCCCCTTAGCGCCCCGCACGCGACAGCCACGGCCCCGCCAGAACCGAGCCGCCCGAACCGAGCCGCCCGAACCGAGCCGCCCAGTCCGAGCCGAGCCGCGCCGCCCTCCTCGTCCTGAGCAGCCCTCTCTGGACCGAGCCGCCCTACCTGAGTCGCACTGCCTGCTGCTGTTAGGGTCTCGCCTGCTGTTAATACTGCTACTGTTCCTGCTACTACTACTGCTACTGCTCCTACTGCTACTATGGCTAGCCCTCCAGTACTAGCTTTCGATGCTGAGGGCCGCCCAGTGAAGTTTGACACTTGGCTAGATGACCAGCACCTCTTCCTACAGCTCACTGCCAAGGAGGACATCTCACTGTACGATCACGCCTTAGGCCATGCCACTGCCCCTGCTGCTACTGCTGACAGCACTACCCGCTCACAGTGGCAGAATCGTGACGCCCACGCTCGCTTTGCTATTCGCAACTCCCTGCCGATAGATGAGCGCGAGCACTTTGGCCAGCACAAGACTGCACAGGCACTGTACACTGCTGTCGTTGCCCGCTACTCCTCACCTGCCTCTGCCGCGCTAGGCCGTCTCTCACTCCCCTACCTGTTCCCCGACCTGTCCTCTTTCCACACAGTCGCTGACCTCATCACGCACCTCCGTACTAGTGAGGCCCGCTTCCGTGCCGCTATGCCCGATGATTTCCTTGCCACGAACCCCCCCCCGCTCTGGCTCACTCTCTACCACCTAGTCACCCGCCTCCCTGACACTCTGCGTACAGTCAGGGATCACTTCCTAGCTCGCTGCCCCACTGAGCTCACCATTGCCCTCCTCGAGAAGGAGCTACTTGCAGCTGAGGCTAGCATAGTCGCTGTAGGTGCCTCTCGCGGCGACCCCCGCACCCCTTTCTTTGAGGGGTGTTCCCCTTCCCCCCTTCTTCCCTCTGTAGCCTCTGCTTCTGCTGTCGACCTCTTTGGTGCTGAGAAGGTCGGGACTGCGTCCGCTTCGAGCTGGCGCCGCAGCGGCAAGGGCAAAGGGGGCAAGGGAGGCGGAGGTGACGGCGGGGGAGGAGATGGTGGGGGCGGTGGCGGCGGTGGGGGTGGTGGTGGGGCTGGAGGGACTAGTGGCAGTGGTGGGGGTGGTGGCGGCAGCGGCGGGGGAGGTGGCAGGGGCGGGGGCGGTGGTGGGGGCGGCAGTGGACGCGGCGGCGGCAGGGGCGGGGGTGGTCGAGGTGGTGGCGGCGGTGGTGGTCGTGGAGGCGCTGGCAGTGGCCAGAGCCAGCAGCACACTCCGTCGCCCCAGCAGCTTCGTGAGTGGTACTCTCAGCACGGGGGGGGGGGGGGGTGTCCTTAGCTGCACGTACGTCATCCGCACTGGTGACCGCACTGGTCAGACGTGTGGGAGGGCGCACACCGCGCAGCGCTGCTTCTCCCGCCTCGACGACGCTTGGCGTACTCAGTTCCCTGCTGCCACTGAGCTGCCCCGCTGGGCTGATCTTATGAAGAAAAACATTGATATCTATGCTCTAGACTTTGATGCTATTCTCACTGCCATGTATGTGTTGTCTACTAGTGGAGAGGGTGCTCAGTACCTGCGTGTTCCGCCCGACCCGGGCATTCGGACCAGTGAGGCTGCCGCTCTAGGTGCTAGTGCGTCTGTTGCCCTAGGTGCTGGTGAGGCTGCCGCTCCAGGTACTCGCGTGTCTACTGCCCCAGGTGCTGGTGAGACTGCTGCTCTAGGTACTCGTGAGTCTGCGCCCCCTAGTACTGAGTCTACTGAGGCACTGCTCACCTTCACACTGGACTCTGGTGCTTCTCGCTGTTTCTTTCGTGACCGCACTGCCCTTGAGCAGCTTGCTCGGCCAGTTGCTGTCTCCCTCGCTGACCCCTCTGGGGGTCCGGTCATTGCGACCTCCTCCACTGTCCTTCCTTGTCCTGCGGTTCCGTCGGGCACACTGTCAGGTCTCCACCTCCCCTCGTTCTCTACGAACTTGGTGGCGGGTTGTGCGCTCCAGGACGCGGGTGTCCACCAGTTCACCCCTGCCTACGAGCGCGTGACACACTGCACGTGTGCTCGGACGGGCCGTCACCTGGCTACCTTCACTCGGCAGCCGGGGTCGGACCTGTACACACTGACCACTGAGTCCCCTCAGGTAGCTGCGACTGCGTCTGCGTCAGGTCAGCTGTCGGCCCCCTGCTCGTGTCGCTCTCTAGCGCACGAGACCGTCCTCTGGCACCACCGCCTTGGTCACCCGTCAGTGCAGCGCCTTCGTGGCATGCACACACGGTACCTTGTTGCTGGTCTTCCCAGGGTTCTACCTCCCCTCCCACCCTCGCCTGCTCCTCCCTGTCTTCCCTGTGTCGAGGGGCGGCAGCGCGCCGCTCCTCACTCCTCCTCGTTTCCCCCGACGACTGCTCCCTTGCAGACGCTCCACATGGACGTGTGGGGCCCAGCCCGCGTCCGTGGACAGGGTCAGGAGAGGTACTTCCTGATCGTTGTTGACGACTACTCGCGCTACACCACGGTCTTCCCCTTGCGCACCAAGGGTGAGGTCCCTGATGTTTTGATCCCTTGGATCCGCGCTTCTCGTCTCCAGCTCAGCGAGAGGTTCCACTCGGACTTTCCTGTCCTGCGTCTGCACTCTGACAGAGGTGGTGAGTTCTCCTCCGACCTCTTGGCAGCCTACTGTGCGGAGCACGGCATCCGCCAGTCGTTCACGCTTCCGGCCTCTCCACAGCAGAATGGGGTTGCTGAGCGCCGCATTGGCTTGGTCATGGAGATCGCTCGTACCTCCTTGATCCATGCGGCTGCCCCCCACTTTCTGTGGCCGTTTGCGGTCCGCTACGCTGCGCATCAGCTCAACCTCTGGCCCCGTGTCTCCGCTCCGGAGACTTCGCCGACACTGCGTTGGACGGGAAAGGTTGGCGATGCGTCGCGTTTTCGGGTCTGGGGATCTCGAGCTTTTGTTCGCGATACGTCCGCGGACAAACTCTCCTCCCGCGCTGTTCCTTGTGTCTTCCTTGGCTTTGTCCCGGACGCTTCTGGTTGGCAGTTTTACCACGCCACCTCGCGCCGTGTCCTCGCCTCTCAGGACGTCACTTTTGACGAGTCGGTGCCCTACTACCGCCTCTTCCCCTACCGCACTGCCCCGCTCCCCCCCCCCGCCTCTCTTCCTCGCACCAGGTGCTGCTGTGGTAGACCCCCTCCCCCCTCAGGGTGCCGCTCCCTCAGGTGTGTCCCAGGTAGACCCGGTTGAGCCTGTCGAGGTAGCTGTCGACTCTCGTCCTGCTAGGGGTGCTGAGCCTGAGCGTGCGGAGCCTGGGGTTGCTGAGCCTGGGGGTGCGGAGCCTGGGGCTGCGGAGTCTGGGGGTGCTGAGCCTGGGGGTGCGGAGCCTGGGACTGCGGAGTTTGGGGGTGCTGAGCCTGGGGGTGCGGAGCTTGGGGGCGCTGAGACTGAGC